AGCGATCTGGAGTATGATAAAGTGGTATAGTTGAGTATTTGACATTTGTCTGAAGGATGGATCCTTAACTACCCAGACAAAAATTTTTTATGTGTTTCCTATGGGTTCTCTGGGACTGGAAAACATATATTTAGTCCGTTAATTTTTGGCTGTAAGATATGAAATAGTAATTATGGTCATGTACTTTATATGTGATTTTCCGTTTTCTAATGGGATGATAGTTGAGCGATCTGGAGTATGATAAAGTGGTATAGTTGATTATTTGACATTTGTCTGAAGGATGGATCCTTAACTACCCAGACAAAAAAAAAGGTTGAAATTAGCTTTATTCAGTGTGCATGCATGATTATCAATTTATAATTGCTACTGCAGTTGGAAGGTTGATTTAAAATGACTCCGTTGTTTATCCCTATCTTTGTTCATGTTACCCCTGATGCTTTTTGAATCTTAGTGGCCTTTCATTGCATGTTAAGTCAAGATTTCATTGAAGTTTCTCAAGAAAGGGCCACCGACCCACATACTGAAACTGTAAACATACACCTTTTCTATTCCCAGTTTTTTGATAAATAACTCTTAAGAACATATAATCGAAATAATCCAACTTCTGAGTTGCAAAGTTGTCACTTCTCAATCAAAAAACGTTTTTGTTTATGCCATCAATTAACTATGTTTCATTTTCCTTCTTTTCTAACTAAGCTGTATCTTCATAACTAACTTCAAAATGACATTGGAATGGAATTAAGGCATGGTTTTAGACAATTGCAATATTTTTTTTGATAAGTCACATGTATCCTTTGGATTTTCAACGTACATTCTACATTTGTTTGGAAGAGTTATAATTAGTAGTTGTGGTTTTACGAAATGTCTAGTTAAAAATTATGTTTGACCAAAAGTGATTATAACTTTAACTCTCCCAAACAAGCACAATATAAGTCACAGTAAAAGAAAACTTGATTACCATGGTTTCTTTCTTGTGCTACAATAATGCATCAATAAACACCAAATTGAGGTCTGTAAGTGAAAACATGTAATTGAATGACCAAAATCTGTGTTCACGTTTAATCCTGGGTTGAACTCTATGTACGAGTTGTTTTCACCTGGTACCATTGAATTCTATGTCTTTTCCTTGTGCTAAATATGCTCTAAAAGGGATTTGATTTGCCTTATACCAACTGATTTAAGTTCACTTTTGTTCCATAATCACCTAAGACCGCTACGATTGCTTTAGGTACCCATGTCGCACATATGACAGTTGAACAAGGCAATGTTAGGTATATCCAACATTTTGCATTGAGTTACTTCAAAAGTATATCCATAGACATCATTTGTTATGCTTACTTTAAATTGAGTTGACCAATTCGTCTTGAACGTTTCATATTACGTTGCACATGGTCCCTGTGTTTCTGTAATACTGTAAGAATTAAGAGATAGCACATGTATCTTCAGCAATGTCCATATTCTGGAACTGAAAATTCAAAGCCCAATACTCTGCATGTGTCACTCATTTGTCCATGATATCTGTATAAAGCACACATGTAGTGCAGTGTAGGAGGTGATCTTTTTATTTAATTTTGTTTTGGGTCATTGGGTGCATCTAAAATATGAATCTACATTTTTAGTAATCTGCACGTGCTTTCAAGCACTAGCTCATCTTGTTATGTATCTCAATGGATTTTAAGGTTCGTGAAGGGATACGTTATTTATTTATTTATTTTTCGGGGGGGGGGGGGGGGGGGGTTCTTTGTCGGGGGGGGGGGGGGGGGGGTCCCCTTTTCTTTTTCATTTGTTTTTGATTGAGATGAGTGGGTGTAACTTGTAAGGGATGTACTTTGGCAATTCATATTAACATAATAGTGGCAACTTGAGTAAAAGAAGAATGAGATCCATAATTTAAATAAAGATAATCCATGTGCTGTAGAATATTGGGGATTTAGCCCCTGTTTGACTTTCTTTGTTTCAAAATTCTTTATTTCTCATGCTCATTTTCAACCACACATTCATACAATAAAATATTTTGCATGTAAATTCAAAACTTTTCATACTTTTTAACCATATATTTTCCAAAAGTCACTATTCAAAATATCATTTTTTCCAATTTCTTATTATAATGGTCATCAAACAGGGGCTTAGTCAGGTTGTGACTTTTGTTGTATTGGGATTTAATCTTTTGGACATCATTCGATGGATTGGGATTTGGACGTGTATTTCATTTTCATTTTGTCATGCTTCTGATTCTGTAGGGACTGGAGTAATTCCCATTGCATATTTTGTAGTCATGTATATATATATATATATATTGTAGTCTTGTAGATTGTAGATCCGGATCTTTTTCAGTTGTTTTTATGATATTATCCTGCTTTGTATCTGCTAAGTTACTTTTCTGGGCATGTCAGAGTTCAGGGATGTCATTGCCTAAACAAACAGAGAAATTTTCTAATCAGCCAGAGTCTTCTGGGCTGAAACTCCCCGACGCCTCACTCCTCTTGGATTCACCTGCTTTGCCATCTCATCTTATGACTGCCTCAGACCACTCGTCTAGAGTTGCAGCTGCAATGGCTGAAGGCGCATCTCGGAAGAGAGACTTAAATGGTTCTCCTGCCAGTCATCTTCGTGGTAAAGTTCCAAAGGGGACCTTGCCTTATTCCAAGAATGTTCCAGATACAGTAGGTGGCAATTTACTCCCACCTCAGCTTACTGGAAGGTGTGTACTAAATATTGATTTTTGCAATAGTGTTTTATTTACATTTAGCTTAGCCCAAATCTTAATGGCAGAGTCATCATTTGTTTCTTAATGCGACTGTAACTTATATATATAATTTTTCTATCCAATTTCTAAATTTTTATGAGTATGTGATTGTGTGTGACACATGTTGCATTGCTTATTCTTCTGAAAACTAAAGATAAAATTTATCAATTATACTTGCCAGAAGGGAGTTTGTTACAGATACCTGGCCATTTAATCTAATTGGAATGAGTTGTAGATATTTCTTGTTTGTTTAATAATGTACTCTTCCTGGGTATACCTGATGCAGCACCAATAAAAAAATTAATGAAGAAACTGAAATTCAATGAATCAGGAAGAAGAAAGCAGGGGAAGGGAGGGAAGAAAAAGAAAATAGGGGAAGAAGAATGGGAAAGAGGAGGAATTTCGCCACAAGCCTCCAAAATAATTATTCATTTATCAACTAACGAAATTACATGGTAAGGTAAGTTTAAATAGTAAACCAAAACCCTGACTACAATGGGATTGGGCCAATACAAGCCCAATAAAAATCCACAACAAAATAAAGTCTACTAAAATGAAATAAAGTCCAAAATGAAATAATGTTCGACTAGAAATAAATAAAAAGACTGGATGTCCTCATCAACTCTCCGGGAGTGGGAGAAAACTCGACCCTGTGAGTGGATATATTACTATAGGTTGCAGTCAATCTCCCAACCAAAAGCTGAGTGGTTGGGCAAGCTTCTTCCGACGTCTGTAGAAATGTATCAGTGAAAGTTTGAATCTAGTGTCCTCACCAACTCCCCGAGTGGATGGGAGGCGATCTGAGCCAAGGAAAATCCTGCTGACTCCGATAAAGCTCCAATAAATCTGGATTCAATTACTGTATTGTCTCTCTGAAGATCCATGTACAGTCAAAATCTGGGCGACCAACCCAACCAACAAGGAAGCGCTGAACCTTTCCATTATTAGTTAACACAGTTTTTTCATCTAAAATAGCATTAATCTTATCGTTGTGCGCTGTGAGAAGTGGTAGTGGGTTAGAAGCCAAAGAGTCTGGATCAAGGTCCACAAAAGGAGATAACAGAGGATCATGTGAGGGAATTAAATGAACTTTATAAGCAAGTTCTCAACATTGAAAGTAGAGTGGTAACCAATGTGGGGTGGAATGTTAACAACATATGCATCTGGACCAACTTGCTTTAAAATTTTAAAAGGACCAGCACTACGGGCTTGCAATTTGGAAGCGAGTCCATGCAAATGCTGCTCAGGTCTAATGCAGACCATAACGTAATTCCCAATGTTAAACTCAACACGTTGTTTATGCAAATCAGCTTGGAGTTTATATTTTGCATTACTGGCTTCAAGTTGATTATTGATCTCAATATGCAAATCCCGAAGATGTTGTGCAAATGTTTCGGCTGACACTGACACTTTAGCCTTTGAGGACATAGGAATGAGATCTAACGGCTTCCTAGATTTATACTCATGAACAGTTTCAAATGGACTCAGACCTAGTGAACGATTCATGGAACTGTTATACGCGATTTGAGCTATAGGAAGGATTAAATCCCAATTTCGAAGATTTTCCCGAACAAGACATCGTAAAAAATTACCAAGACTACGATTAACTACTTCAGTTTGATCGTCAGTCTGAGGGTGGTAGGCCGTAGAAAATTTCAGTTTGGTACCCATTTTTTGCCACAAAATTCTCCAAAACTGGTTAGTGAAACGAACATCCCTATGAGACACAATGGTCTTAAGAAGCCCATACAATTTGACAATCTCATTAAAAAACAACATGGCAACCTTGGACGCATCTGAGATCCTACTATAGGGGATAAAATGAGCCATTTTCGAGAAACGATCGACAACCACAAAAATAGAATCATGTTTCTTTGGGGTGCGTGGAAGTCCTAACACGAAATTCATAATAACATCTTGCCAAGGACAGTTGATGACGGGAAGAGGAGTGTATAGGCCTGTGTTTTGCCTCTTTTGTTTGGCCAATTGACAAGTGTTACATGTACTAACGATCTTAGCAACATCTTTCTTCAAACTAGGCCAATAGAATTGGCGTTCAACTTCCTCTATAGTCTTATCACGCCCAAAGTGATCGGCTAAACCTCCTACACGAATTTCCCACACTATGAAATCTGGCATTGAAGTTCGAGGGATGCACAATTTATTGGCTCTAAAGAGGTAACCCTTCTCAAGTCGAAAGCCATCTGTGGTATCTGATTGTCCACCTTGCAAATCAAGAAAGATATCCTTAAAATCGGGACACGCCTCGTAATCCTCCTTAAGCCTTTCAAAACCGATGACCTTGATGCTCATTATCGATAAAAGGGAGACACTTCGACTTATTTAAAACAAATGAATAGGCCTGTAAATATTCAATTCAACGAACATGCCTAGAGCTCAATCTTTTCTAGGAGTTGAAGTAACGGAAGGCCTTGTGGTCCCAATAAAGAACAAACTCTTGGGACAACAAATAGTGGCGCCAATAGCGCAAAGCATGGACAACCGCATACAATTCCTTATCATAAGTCGAGTACTGTTGTTTGGTCTCATGTAACTTCTCACTGAAGTAGGTAATAGGGTGACGATCTTGACTCAAAACTCTGCCTATACCTACCCCGGATGCATCACACTCGACCTCAAAGATTTTGGAAAAATCTGGAAGACACATGACAGGAGCCTCCATCATTCGCTTCTTGACTAACTTAAAGGCCTTAGCCGCTTCTTGTGTCCAATGAAACTCCCCTTTTTTCATGCACTCCATAATAGTGCTAAACCCCTTGATAAAGCGACGGTAAAATGTAGCTAAGCCGTGAAAGCTCCTGACGTCATGAATAGTCTTAGGTTCAGGCCAGTCAAGAATTGCCTGAACCTTGACAAGGTCAACAGATACCCCAGTCGAAGAGACAATGAACCCCAGGAAAACGACTGTATCAATGAAAAAAGAGCACTTCTTGACTTTAGCATATAGATTAGTTGCACGTAGGGTAGAGCAAATTTGTGTAAGGTGGTCACGGTGTTGCTTCTTAGTCTTACTATAGATGAGAATATCATCAAAGTAGACAACAAGAAACTTACCCATGAAAGGTCGAAGAGATTGTGTCATTACCCGCATAAAGGTACTCGGCACGTTGTTTAGCTCAAAAGGCATGACCAACCATTCAAAAAGACCATCTTTCATTTTAAAAGTGGTCTTCCACTTATCACCTGGGCGGATTCTAATCTGATGGTATCCACTCTTCAAGTCAATCTTCGAAAAGATTGTAGCACCAACCATCATTTCTAGCATATCGTCAAGTTTAGAAATGAGAAAACGATACTTCATCGTTATCCTATTGATGGCACGACTATCCACACATATTCTCCAAGAACCATCCTTAGGGGTCAATAGGGCTGGAACTGCACAAGGGCTTAAGCTCTCACGAATGAACCCCTTGTGAAGGAGTTCATCTACTTGCCTTTGGAGTTCAGCGTGCTTGGTGGGATTCATCCAATAATGAGGCAAATTCGGAAGAGATGCCCCTGAGACGAAATATATGGCATATTGAATGTCCCGTAGAGGAGGTAGATGATCAGGTAAGTCTTCCGGGAAGACATCTCGAAACTCTTGAAGGAACAATTGAACTTCAGTGGGGCTCTCTATTGTGGAGTTAGATGAAACCTCCATAACAACCAAAGCAAACACAATTGAGTCATCAACAAGTGTACGCTCGCTGTAGGACTAATGATATGTAACCCTTTTCGTTCCACACTTTTCTTTGTCTCGTGTGAGCCAACAGGTTTTAGGGCAATAGGTTAATGTGAATTTTCTTTCCATTAAACACGAAAGAGTAGGAATTGGATCGACCATAGATGGTTACATCTAGGTCAAATAACCAAGATCGTCCTAGAATGATGTGCCCGACATCCATCAAAATGTCGTCACACCATATATGGTCCTTATACTCGAGGAACTGAATAGGAACTAGACAACGCTCCTTGACAACTATAAAAGAAGTATTAACCCAGGAGACGCTATACGGCTGAGGATGAGGAACTGGCTTCAACCTTAGACAGGATACAGTAGCCATCAAAACTACATTAATGCAGCTGCTACTATCTACAATAACTTTACAACCCTTGTTATTGATTTTGATGTACGTGTGGAAGATGGCATGACGACGTCAATCATCGACACCCTTAGGCTGTGTAAGAGTGCAACGGACAACACCGACTCTAGGTGTATATGGGATAAGGGGACTAGTCTGAATACAATCTAAGAAGGTATCTTCACTATCTTCCAAGTCATCAAACTCTTTCAACTTAGGTTCATAAACTTGGTCCTCTAATGGCTCGTCAACTATACCTTCACGCTCTTCCATAACTAGGGTTCGGCTAGGACACTTAGAAGAAATGTGATCAAAACCCTTACAGTTGAAGCATTGCAAACAGGAGGACGCCCTTGAAACCTCATAACCTTTACCTTTACTATCCGATGTAGGGGTAGCATTAGAAGGAGGAGGCCCTAGAATAGAGTTAGGGGATGGAGTGGATGCAGAAGAGGTTGCAGTGTGGGTGTCACTACGAGTTCTATACGGTGTCCTAGTCACTAACTCGTAATTTCGAACGAAAGAGTAGGCGTGGTCAAGAGTGGTGACGTCTCTAAGGACAAGCTCACGTCGAAAATCATCCCTTGCCTAAACCTACTCAAGGTCATGACCTCATCCTCAATGACCTGACATTTCATTTGAAACTCATCAAATTGAGCAACGTATTCGATCACGGGTCGATTGCCTTACGTAAGTGCATCCCATTAATCCAGCAAGTTATCCTTGTAAGATTGAGGTACATATTTCTCTTGAAGGCGACGCTTTATTTCATCACAGCTCCCAACAGGGGGTGCATGACGAAATCCTCAACACTTTCCCAAAAGAGTTGAGCAGTGCCAGTTAATTTTAGACTGACAAATTGTACTCTCCGATCTTTTGGGACCCTATACCAGGCGAAGAAACGATCCATATCTCTAACCCATTGATTGTATACACTAGGATCTAGACAAATATAGGGGCATCAAATTTAATGTTTTGAAATAGGCGTTCCTCATGGCGAGGGGGAGACTGTGTACCATGATGGTGATGTTCTCGCTCTCGTCCACGAATCTGATTTCCATCCCTATGATCATGTCTGCTATGGTGTCGACCAACTTGTGGACGACGATGAGGTCTATTAATGGACGCTTCAGAGTTTTCAGCTTCAGTCGAATATGGGGTTGGATCAAGGGTGTTCAACCTAGCAGCTAGGGCTCTAACTCTTCACGAGTAGCAACTACTTCAGTTTGGACAGCCGCTACTTGATTTTGTAATTGTGTCAACTGTCGGGTGAGAGCTTCAATTTGGGAAAGGTCCATGACAAAGGTATTAGAACTAGAGGTAGTAACACGACCACTACGGAAATACATACAAAGTAACACTATCCAAGTGAAGTGCACTACTGAGATCAATAAACAATAGGTACCAACAGTAAAATAACAATTTTTTTATTTATTTATTTTTTAATTTTATATTTTTTTAAGCTACTAAAAATTGGGATTACATAGAGCCGACCGTGGCAAGCTAATAATATTGATGCTAATAAAATAGAGAGCAGAGGTACAAATGACTAATCAAAAGGTTTAATCATGTGGGGTAATCAGGGAAACAATGGGGGGGTTAATTCACGAATTCCGATCAAGTGGATTTTAAGGTCACAATTATCAAATAACAGCAACACAAAAATTAAATGATGCAATTTTAAATAAAGCAGTAGTGTACACCAATAATAAATAGAGGTCAAGAACTTTCTGTTGTTTAGCTGTAGAAGGCGATGTACGCTGAGACACGAGGAATCAAAACTGTGCCCAATTATGATTTCCCAGTGGGCACGTCCCCAGTAGCAAAGAATACTCCTGAGCTCTAAACAATTGAGTGATGCAACAAGATCAATCCAGGCGTGGCTTCGATCTTAAGTGTTGTGGAGATGAAGTAGTTGATTGTGTCTAGCTGTTTAGGATTATGATCGTGTGTTGATTGCAATTTACGAGTGGTGTGTTTTGTGGTGTGTTGACTGTGTGGGGAGATGGTGGTTAGTTGCTAGAATAACGTATTGAAGGCGAGAGAAAAGATGGGCCGGTGGTGGCGATGGCTTGTGACTTGTGGTGACGGTGGCGCATGTGATGAAGTACAAATGGCAGGGAGCTGGGTTAAGATTAGAAGTAAACGGGTTTGCAGCGATTGTTTGTGAATTTGGGCTCGAAGAAGATGAAAGAATTTCGGGTTTGGATTGAATTAATTGGGCTGAGTAAATTGGGGCTTAAATCAGTAGGTTGAGTTTGGGTATTGGGGGTTATGAAAGGATAATGGGCTTTGGAGGTGCTGGGCTAGGTTGAGTTGGGCTAAGTGGTAATGAGGTTGGGTAGTTGGATTAATGAATTTGGTGGAATTTGGTCTGGGCGTAGAATTGGGATTGTGAAGGTGAGCTAGGGTTTGTTGTAGGTGTTATATGGTGTCAACGTGTGATGAAAATGTAGGAAGGGCGAACGGTACGATGGAACTGAAATTGCAGCATATCTGTTATGAATTTTCTCCTTTTTTTTCTTTTTTTTTTTAAAACTACAAAAAAATAATAATAAAAGCGAAATTCCGAGTGTGAACAGTACCCGTGAACAGTAACTTTTTTTTCAACTAAGAAAGAAAACTGAAATAAAAGAAGACTGCTACCTCACTACAAATTCCTTCGTTTGTACTGTTCTACAAGTTTTTGGGAAGAGGTTATGAAAAAGTTTTGGATTGTAGATGAAAAATTACCCAAGTTTCGGCTTTGATACCAAATTTGATGTAGCACCAATAGAAAAATTAATGAAGAAACTGAAATTCAATGAATCAAGAAAAAGAAATCAGGGGAAGGGAGGGAAGAAAAATAAAATAGAGGAAGAAGAATGGGAAATAGGGGGGATTTCGCTATAAGCCACCAAAATAATTATTCATTCATCAACTAAAGAAATTACATGGAAAAGTAGTTTAAATAGTAAACCAAAACCCTAACTAGAATGGGGTTGGGCCAATATAAGCCCAATAAAAATCCACAACAAAATAAAGTCTACCAAAATGAAATAAGGTCGAAAATGAAATAAGGTTTGACTAGAAATAAATAAAAAGACTGGATGTCCTCATCAATACCTATATATTGTCCCACTCAATGTCTTAAATCTCAATTATGTGTGTTGTTGGCAATGGGTCTGTTCTTATTTTAGTATGAATATCATAGCAGTTAGCACCGAAGAACAATATTGTCTCTATATATTAAGATCTTTGGTGATTCCATGCTCCTTTATGTTCTTGCTGTCATATTATTGAAAAATTAAGGGGCAGAAAGAACATCTAGAACCCTCCACCTACTCAAATATTGAGATAAGATGATGTACTTAATGCAAGTTTTCACCTTTCAATCAATTTTTTGATATATTTATTTGATTTTATTTTTATTTTCTAATCTTTTAGTCACATTGTCCTAGGATCATGATTCTTCAGTGTATAGTATGCATCCAACCACAACCACATCCACCGCTGTCCTGACATATCATAATAACTTGTACCTTTCACTAAGTAATTGCAATGCTAGATTCTGTTTTTGTGTTTTCTCGGTTTGTTTGAATCCATAAGCCCCAGCTTCATATGTAAATTTAATGTGCTTGGCATGACATTTTGCTTTCCACGAGTTAAATTTACCCATGATCAAATTGAATTTTGCAGGAGCAATGTTGTTACGGAGGACATAAGCAAGCTCTTTGTAAGAAGGCATGCTGACACTTCATCACACTAGTACAAGTTGATCGTATATTGTAATGTTACTATCGTCTTCATGTTATGACAGTTTAGAAATTCTTAGAACGTTAAAGGTTGCTTCTGTAAGACATTACGAGTATTGTCCCAAAATGTAACCAATTTGTTGCAAACTCAGTGTATTAAATAGAATGCACAAATTCGTGGTCTTTGATTGATAGTTGATACATTTACACTTGCTGATCGAAATTTAGTGTACTTTTTAATTCATTAATTGCGTACAGTACCATTTTATTGAAGTTTGGTTGATGGACTGTTTGAACTGTAAAAATAATCGAACTTCTTTTGTTTCAAATTTCCCCGAATTGTTTGTTTCTTTTGTCTTTGAGTTAGGAAAAGCGTGCGCTTTAATCTTTATAGAAAATGCCAAAGTTGGCTTAGCAAGAAAATGCAAATGCTGCTTTTTTTCATTACAGTGAACCAACTCATGTTTGGTAAACTCATGGCCGAGGTTGGTCTTGGCCTGTTATGTAAAAGCTCCGTTCTGATTGAGTTTGTCTTCAAGTTATGCATGGTGATTTGTTCATGTCTAATGAATGCACGGAACAAATTTGTGCATATAACAAATTGAAGTTCTCCCTGGGAAAATAAGTAGAAAGAGATAATTGTGAAGCTGAATATTACTAATCGGAATATTAACATGAAAGTTACGGCCAAAATGTTTGAACTTCTTGTTTTATGCCAGGTCCGGTCCTGAGGGAAGCAGCTCGTAGCCATCGTGATGCTTGACATTTTCAGTGTAATTGGGAGTCGAAATGGGAATGCATTTGAGGATAACAGCAACCAGTAAACTTACAGCTCCAAGCAATATGCTGATCCCCCACAACTCAAGACTCAATGGCACTGTATCTGCAAATGTGCCAAAAAATTCTACTATAACTATTTGGAGAACAACAGTGGAGACCAGGATGATCATGAAAATCCGGCTGCTGAACATTCCCCGGAAGATATTTATCTTCTCCATGTCTCGGCTGTTTATCTCGTTAAAAATCTGGTATTTGTGAAAGGAAGGTTATCGCTTATCAGAGTTTCCCCAGCAAATATTAAGCCATTCAATGCAGATGTAAAGAAGGTACTTTTACATGACATTTTCATTTACCTGGCAAAACACAAAGGTATTGAATAACAAGGTATTAAGAATAGAAGCAGAATCTGCACCGTTCAGCTTCAAAAGCCGCTTCCCTTCAAATGAGAGTATCCCAAGAACAGCCAATTGGTACAAACTCTGGCCAATAATATTTCTCCACATAACCCTTGTAATGAAATGAGCATTCCTCCCAACAGGTGGTCTCTTCATCAATCCATCATGCGGAGGTTCTGTAGCTAGAGCTAATGCACCAAGACTGTCCATTATCATGTTCACCCACAGCAACTGCACAGCAGTGAGGGGCGCAGAACCTGTGAGTTATACATTAGCATTTTTAGTAATCGATTATTGTAGATTTATCGATATCCCATTGTTTCATTCGGTTGAATTGTGGTAAAGGCTAGCTACCTGAGACGCATGCTGAAACGAAATTTGTTATGAGAGCAACAACATTTACTGTCAGCTGAAACTGTACAAACTTCTGAATGTTGATGTAAACTGAACGACCCCATTTAGCAACATTCACTATGGTCTTAAAATTATCGTCCATTATCACCACATCTGCTCTTTCTTTAGCAACCTGTGTGCATCAAAGAACTCTTCGTCGTTAAGGCAATGGGAACAAATAAAGCGTATTATTCGACTGAATACTATATATAGTCATATAGAGGATATTAGACAGACCTCAGTTCCTGCTATACCCATAGCAAGCCCAATATCTGCCTCGTGAAGAGCAGGAGCATCATTAGTTCCATCACCGGTCACTGCCACCACTTCTTTCAATTCTTTCCTCAACATAGTTACTAATTTGTGCTTGTCCAAAGGCAACGATCGCGCCATAACCTGAAAAGTAATGCCATAACCTGAAAAGTAAATAACTTAAGAAATTATGAAGCTAATTTGCTAAACACAATGTCTAAATCCTTTTTCATGTAAATATCATACCTGCAGTTTAGGTATTAACAACTTCATTTCCCGGGTACTTTTACCTCGAAAATCTGGCCCTTCCATGGCTATACCATCATCAGTCAAGATGCCACATTCTTTAGCTATGGCCTTGGCAGTACTTATGTTATCTCCGGTAACCATTCGCACAGTAATTCCAGCAGCTAAACAAGTCTGGACAGCTTCTTTTACACCTGGTCGAACTGGATCCTTAATTCCAACTACTGCTATAAGCGTATAGCCGCTATCAGGAATAGAATCATCAGATGAGTTTTCTATATCCTTAAAAGCCAAACAAAGTGTTCTAAGAGCTTTGCATCCAAAACCATCAATGACATTCGCGATGTCCTTTCTTTGCTCAACAGATAAAGATACTGATTCCCCATCCTTCCCAACAATTTTGTCACACATTCCAAGTATAATTTCTGCTGCACCTTTAACAAAGGCTCGAAGTCCACCACTTGGAAGAGCCACCAGCGCCAACATACTTTTCTTTACTGAATTAAAAGGTTCGACTTTTATTGTTTTGCACTCCCGTTTTACAGCATCAAAGTCCTTCTGAAATAGCAAGCCAAACTCCAGCAAAGCTGTCTCAGTTGGAGAACCAAATATTTCAGTCTTCCCGTCTCGTCCTTTCACCACTTCAGAGCTTGTGTTTAGAAATATGCCAAGAACTAGAGCTTTCGCCGCTTTTTCTGGTATAGAAGACTTCAATGCATTTCCCAGCCTGTTACATTCTACGGTTTTTGCTTCTCCACATATCCAAATGTGTGTCACCACCATGTGATTTGTAGTCAATGTGCCTGTTTTATCCGTGCAAATGCAACTAGCCGAACCCATAGTCTCGCAAGCAGAGAGATGCCTCACCAGCGCCCTACTATTCATTAGTTTCTTCATTGCAAAGGCAAGACTTAACGTTACTGCCAATGGCAGTCCTTCCGGTACAGCAACTACAAGTATAGTTACTGCAGTTACAAAGAAATTCAGAAGACTAAGAGCATCATCCATAGTCCATTTTGTGATCCCACCATGCTTTGCTGCTAAAAATCGAGCAGTGAGCACCAAAAATGTCAACACAGCAAAAGCCAAACCAATTTTCCCAATAATAGTCGCCACTCCATTTAGTTTCGCCTGCAATGGCGTCTCTTCATTTCCTCCTTCACTTACAGTGACCATCAACCGTCCCCATTCTGTTCTCATTCCAACAGAAGTCACGAGCATTTTACCTGATCCGTCTTGCACTTTTGTACCAGCCAGAAGAAAAGGTCTCCCTTTATCTATGTTTACCGTCTCACACTCACCCGACAAGCTCGATTCATCAATTGACAACCTGTAACCTGATATAAAAAGCCCATCTGCTGGAACTTGATCTCCAATGGACAGGTGAACAATGTCACCTACCACCATATCATAAATAGAAACTCTCTCTCTGTTCCTATTTCTGGTGACATGAACTTGTATATTTCGTTTTTCTTTATCGAGGTCTCTGAATTGCAAGGATTGCTTGTAGTCACTAATGGCAGTGACTAACACCACTAAGAAAACGCACAGAATTATTCCAAGCCCATCATACGTGCCTTTTGGCCACCCTTCTGTCGCAATACCAACCCCTACAGAGATTACGGCGCAAACCATTAAGATAATCAGTGTAAGATCTCGGAGGGTATCCCACACAAACATTAAGAAGGGCCTTGATGGTTTCTCAACAAATTTATTCAAGCCATAGATTCTTCGCCTATTTGAAATTTCCCTTGGGCATACTCCCTTTTCCAGTGAAACAGATAATTTTCTCGCTAATTCTTCTAATCCTCCATGGGATTCCAGTCGCTTGAGATCGTGTGAACGAACAATTGATGCAAGTTCATCTGGATCAATGCTGAAACCAGCTTGAACAACCTCCTCGGGGATCTGGCACTTATCTGCTGCTCGACTTGCTGGTGTAGTACAGTATGCAAGAAACATATATGAGAAGGAAAAACAGTGAAAATGAGTAGTAAGACAGCATATTTCATACTACTCATACCGTCAATGAAATGCAGTGCTGCTTTTTGCACGTATAAAGCTAGTCGAATCTTCTCCTGGAAAACGAATATCAAATTTCAACTGAGCTAAAGAAAATAAAATGATGATAAGTAATATCCCAGAAGTTCTCATGTCTACCCAGATAAATTTCAAAACTTCCATTGCACAAAACAGTCCAAAGCACAACTTTGATTACTATAAAAATATAAATCGATGCTGTAAAGGTCCACCAAGATCTCAAAGGCTACAACACAGAGAAAATATATAAACCATACCACATTCTAAATATTTATTTAAGTTTCTGTTCATTGAAACTTACTTCAGATTGTAAACTTAACATGTTGCCCAAGATGTTGCTGGTTTGAGAACAAAAATCTTGAGATCCAGCTGCTTTAAACGGATTGAATTGTTCGCTCTGGGTTCATAAACCTTGTAGCAGAATGTGGAAGTGATAAAACTATAGTAGAAAATTTTGGAGGTTTTTGAATGATTGAAGCCTATTTATAAAACACTTAAGAGATGATTTTTGGAAAAAAGTTACAATTAGTAAGTTCATAAAACTGTTAAATTACTCTAATGGAGTCTTGTAATTGAAAGGGATATGGTATATTCTTGAACAAATTAAATAAATGACAGCACCTGATATGTGCTGTGTGAAAAATATCTATACACAAGGCAACCCCTTTAAAGAGGACTCACCATTTTTCAGAGTACGACAAAATTTAAAAGATAAGGTACTGGTGGTACCATCTTTGAAATCCTGTTTTCTTGGGGCTTGATGATTAAAAATTTTTGATTTCTTAGGCCCCCTTTTTATCCATTATTTGAAAAAAATACATTTTTAAATAGTATTTTGACATCATTTCAAACACACATTCTTCAATCAAATAATATTATAGTAAATAAATAAAAAAATTCTTATTAAACCACACATTTTCCATCAATACACTCATTCTTATCAAAAGAATGGAGCTCAAACAAGGGCTAAATAAAAATGATTACAAAATAATTCAATTTCTACCAGACAAATATATAAACTTAGAGCCTGTTTGGGGCTCATTATTGGTCCAAAAAAATGAAAAATCTTACCGTTGGAGCACACAAAACCAAGGCATTGTGAGAGAGAAGTCAACAGGTGGGACCCTTCAACGATAAA